GGGCTCAGTGCTGTCTGAGCTGGCGTGCAGCTCCCATTTTTACGTAGAAGGGACACCCTTGGCTTGGAAGAAAGTGGACCCAAGCACAATCAGTCGTCGTCAATGACAATGGCTCCGCCGGTAGAGTCGTCCACAATGACCACGTCGTCGCTGCCGCTCGTGGTAGCGACAACCTTGGCCTTTTTGGCTTCGATCAGCTCGTCTCCGTCGTCCGGCCGGGGCCGCTTGAGGTTAGATGTCCCCTCCGATGCCTCACCAGCGGGCTTGCCATTTGGCTCACTCGTGCCGTTAGATTCGGCGGATGCCTCCTTCTTGGGCTTGCGAGGGATCTCGGGCTTCTTGTCCGCGACCAAGCCCTGGATGGGCTTATCAGTCAGGGGCTCCTTGCTATGTGGTTGTTAGTTTGTGGTTTAATACGAGCTTTCGAGCAGATAACGTACGATTCCTGGATGCTGATGACGACGTTGACAAAGGGTTCGTCATCGTCTTCATCAATAATTGTGAGGAAAGAGTCCTCCTTGATCCCAAGCTCGCTGAGCTTCTTGGAGAGGTTCTCCGTCTCATCCGGGTCGTATAGCGGCCCGACGTCATTATTCAGGGCGAACTCCTTGTCACCGTAGCCAAGCTCCAGGCGCACAAAGTCTTCGACAAGGTCCTTGAGCGTCGCTCGGGACATGTCGACAGTGACGCTCGTCTGATATACGCTGCATACCGGGCAATCTGGGTTAGGGGCGCGGAACTTGCTCGAGTTAAGCAGACGGGCAGGGTTGTGAGGAGAGATGAACACCTAGACAAAAACATTAGACTACCGATTCCTCGCCAGGACCCAAAAACTTTAGACCTTACCTCCTTGGTCTGAGTGAAATCGCCTCTCAGCACCTTGAACGATTGCAAGACACACAGGCCGGCGACAATGGCATTGGTTGTCGCAATAGCAGGGATGATGTTGCCAGCCATCTGCTTGATATCGAAGCGCGACTTTCTCTCAATGCCGAAGATGGATGATCGAATATTTGCGCTCGAGGTCACAAAGTCCAACGTGTCCTCGTCGTCCTTGTCGAAGGTGATCAGGGGCTCAGGTCCAGATGCGTCCTCCTTGTGCGCCTTTTTCAGCTCCTGCATCCGTTTGCTCAGACGGTCCAGGCTGTCGACGAAGACTGCAAAGTTCTCCTCCAACGTCCATACTTGTTGTCCTCCCTGCAAGATAGTCTCCTTCGAGGCGAGGGCTGCGGCTGACTGCTCTGCCAAAGTTTTGTAGTCGAGAGCCTCAGGTTTCCGTCTGGACTTCCACATATCCTCCATGGACGCGAGTCGCACAATGTCGGTGTTGAAGACCTTATCAAAGAGCAGCTGCGGGAAGGCATCAGTGCCCAATGATTCGCGAATCGTTCTCAAGGCCGCAGCCTCCTTCTTCAACTCTTCAATTTCCTTGGCATTGTCGGCATCGGCCGAGTTGTCGAATGCGGACTCGTCTTCGCTCGCGCCAAAGATCTCGTTGAGAAGATAGCTCTTGCCCCACACGATGCAGTGGATGGGCTGGCTAGGGGTGCTTCGAATGGTGCAGACCGGGTAAGACTTGGGCGTCTCCTTGGGCGTGCAGTCGTAACATGCGGTAACACCCTTCTTGATGACCTGGACGTTGCCGTTGAATCCCGTCGTGCCGCTCTCGATGAGAGGTACGTCCGCAGCCAAGCACATCCTGTTGACGTGCCGTCTGGCCTCTAGGTTATCCAGCGCATTGAAGACAATGTGGAAGTCGCGGAACCACTTGACGTTAAATTGGGCGTCCTTGATGTTGGAATGATGCGCGACGATCTTAACCTTGGGGTTGAAGGGCTGCGCAGCATCCTTGGCCACCTTTTTGTAAGTCAGTATTGCAATACTCTCCACACCTATATCACTGCTTCTGGTACCATACCAATGCCTTGGACTTCTTGATGTGCTCGTGTCGGAAGAGAAATTGTCGGTTGAGGTTGCTCAAATCGATGGTGTCGAGGTCGACGACGTGAATTTCACCGAAACCCGTAAGCACGATGTTCTTGAGTAGTTCGCATCCGATACCGCCAGCTCCAACCATGAGAACGCGCGCCTGCGTGTTGTAAGTTAGCTCCATTGACTCTTCAATTGCATTGTAACCCATCATCGGGAGGAAACTGGCTGCTTTTGGAATAGGTAAGGGGGACGACGTTGGATGAAAGCCGCGATGCTAGGTAGGTCGCGTGGTCTGATGCGCCGGGGCTCTCTGACGAGGGTTGCGACGTACCTTCTTCACATTGGCGTTCAATGAGCCGCCGAGCGATTGCTGGAAGAATCGATCACGCGTCTGCACGGTGGGAGGTCGCTGCTGCTGCTGCTGCGGCGGCGGCGGCTTTTGTTGCTGTTGCTGCTGCGTCGTTTGCGCGGGTGGTTGAGCGACGGGGATGGCTTCCGTTTGTGCTGGTTGCTGCTGCTGTTGTTGTGGTGCTGATGCTGGTGTAGGCGCCGTCGCGGCGGCGGGCACTGTCGCCTGTGCCGCGGTTGCTGCAGGTGCAGCTCCTGCTTCCGCGGTGGAATCCATTGGGGCTTTCGTTCGATCGCAGTGTTGTTGAGATGTCCGTTCTACGTGCGTCGACGTGTCAATGGGTTGGAAAGGGAAAAGATGGGTGCGATCGCGTGGTTTTGGGAAGAGGAAGTTGAGGGTGGAAATAAGCCGCGCCAGGTGGGATGGAACGACGGCGGCGGGTGGTTTCAGCACGGGAGCGAGGCTGCGAAGAGGAAGGTTCCAAGGTTGAGGTTTTCCCTGAGGTAGCGATCGCCTAGCACAAGGTTCCAGCCAATACCGGCAGCCGGTGACGAGATCCCAGCAGGGATTAGAGCTGTTGGTTCCTGGGGAACTTCCGCGCTCGAGTCCTGATTGGCAGATAAAGGCGGGTTTCTCTCGCTTGCCAGTGGAAGCTTGCTGGAGCACGCTGTAACCTCAGCGGTCTAATGCACCCTACAGTCACCGTGAAACACTCGACGCCTGCTCATAGTCCGGTACCTTACCTAAAGTACCTCACCTTTCCATTACCTCTGGAACCTTGGAAAGTAGGTAAGGTACCTTAACTGCTTACACCGTACCTATGTAGGTACCTCACCAAATACAGGCCGACCTCGCTTGCCCAGCGAAGGTTCGTTGGGCCTCCACCGGTTCCTCGAGTCCTCTCTACTGCGTATCCGTGGTAGGGCCGCTTCTCATCCCCTTTCACGTGGAAAGCAGCCGGTTGAAAGCTCACCTCAGAAACGGGGTTCACAGGTATCCTTGAAGTGACGAGATCGTAGGTCACTCACTCGGAGGGGTCCTCTGGGATTATCGCCGCTTGTGATCCCGCCTTTTGATCCAACAAAAAACAACCGGGTCGGTGCGATATGGGTCTCTTCTTTACCGCCTAGTCCAAAGCCTTAGTCCTGCGATTCTTGCCCTCATCGTCGTCCAAGCTCTGTGAAAGATCCTACTGCATTGCCGCCGGCTAGAAGCATCTGAAAGGTGCAGTCAAGCCCAGTTCTAGGGTCGTATTCCTGCGGCTCTCTCCAAGCAGATAATACCGCCTGCAAGCGTCTCACCGCGGGGCACTGCACACTAACCGAATCATGTCCGACGACGAGCCCGACCTCGAACTCCTGGCCCTCCTCCGCCAGCGGTTCCAGGGGAAGCTCAACATCGACGATGAGCCCGAGACGGGCGTCCTCGACGGCGCCGAGTTCGTCTACGACAACTCCATCGACGTCGCCATCGACATGAGGGCCACAAAGAGGGCCGCCGCCACCATCTACGCCCAGATGGAACAGAAGAAGTACTCAACCTCCACCTGGGCAGAGCACGAGCTGCACCCAAAGACTAAAGACGAGAGCACCGCCGCCTTCATCTTCACCATGGACCTGCTCAACTTCTGCTTCTGGTCAGAGAAGCCCGAGGACGAGAGGTACGCCGTCGAGTATCGCGGCAAGACCTGGACGGGCTACTGGAGCATGGTCGCCTCGCTGCAGCGCGCCCTCGAGGAAGGCATCCCCATCACCAGCTCCGATTTTTGGCAGAGCGAGGACGAATGCAACTTGGAGATTCTCAGACACGTCTTCCGCTCCAAGACGGAGGAGGAGATGCCCCTTCTTGAGGAACGCTTGGCGTGCTTGCGGGAAGCCGGCACTGTCTTGTATGAGAGGTACAGTTGCAGCGTGACGAAACTGGTCGAGACCGCCAACGGGTCGGCCGCACGGCTTGTGAACTTGCTCGCCCGCGATTTTGACTGTTTCCGCGATGAGCACAAGTTCGACGGCCGTCGGAAGCCGGTGAGAATCCTCAAGAGAGCGCAGATCCTCGTGGCCGACATTTGGGCATGCTTTGGCGGTGAGGGCATTGGTGCCTTTAAGGATATCGACAAGATCACCATGTTCGCCGACTACCGGGTCCCGCAGATCCTCAGCACCATGGGTTGTTTGTATTATAGCCCTTCGCTGGCGACGGCTATCACTGATAAGCGGGTTATTGAGAGCGGGTCGAGGTTGGAGTTGCAATTGAGAGGTGAGCCTTTGCAACTACTATGTCACTTCTCCAAACGTCTTGCTAACTATGAGAACAGCGTGCAGTATTTGGTGCGTTGAGCTCATCAAACGGGAGATCCAGAGGGACCACCCTGGGACGAGCGTCAATGCCATTTTGATCGATTTCTTTTTGTATGATACCATGAAGGAGCTGGAGGCCGCTGGCACGGAGACGATAGGACATCACAGAACGCGGAGTATCTGGTACTGAGGTAGAGAGCAGCTTGATCAAGATATGGCCATGATGGGGAGACGAGAGACCTTCAGCACCTCTGATAAGGGGTATAATTCATGTTCGCTGCTGTCCAGCATAGAACATTTCGTGTGATAAATTACAGCAAAACCCTCGTGTCGCATATGCCTCGTGTTCCACTCCGCAAAAAACCGAACCGTTAAAGCCATCGAACCGCTAGCAACTCCAAACTCCGTCTGCTTATTCACACATGGTTTTCGCGGGAAGGAGGCACCTCGACGGTCACCCGGTCAGCCATCCGTGCCTTCCCCCCTTGGTCGCCCCCCAAAGGTCCACGAATACACAACCAAACTTTCATCCGATGCCATTCCGCCACAATCAGAGCCTTCATATACCCCCTCAATCCCATTCCTGTCACCAGCACAGCAGGCGCCCCCTAGGTCGGGGGTCAGGTCAAACTGTGGCGTGGGTGGTGGAATGGTTAATGGTCAACATTCAAATCGCCAACCAGCCTACGCGACGACAGGCTCAGCGCATACGAGTACCGAGTTCGAATCCCAGCATGAGCACCAAGAGATGTAGCCCCCAATTCAGCACCGGGGGGGTGAACTCTTTTGACCTTTTTGACCTTTGTAGATGTTTGCTGAGATCCTCCACAATTACGAGGCTCCGACCGCTGTCGAGTTCATAAGCTCGTCTAAGTGAGCCCGGTCCGAAGCGTGGCCCTTTTTCTCTTGCTTTAGAAGTACCGCAAGGACCTCGATTGGCGGGTTGAGACCTAGCCTCTCCGCGCGCTGCCACCGCTTCATGCGCTGGAGGCCGATGCAGGGCTGCAAGTCATATCAGTATCTCCAGCCAGAAAGCAATTGTGGTCAGGATAACTTACACCATATTGAGAGCTAACGTCAAAGTATCGCAAAACCCTCTCAGCCAGACTCACATCACCTTGGTGCACCCTAGGCGCAATGCGCTGAGCCTCGATCGACTTCCAGTACTTGTTGATCTGGGCGTCGCTGATCTTCTCGGCCCTCACTTCGGCCTCTGATTTTTCGGGGACTTCTTCCTTGGCTTCAACCTTCTCAACCTCGGGCGTCAAGGGTTCTTCGATCTGGATCTCGTCGACATCCTTGTGCTGCTTATTGCTTGGCTTGGCGATATCGGATCGGTCAATGGCAGAGGAAAGAGCCACTGTTTTCTTGGTGTCTTTGGGCACCGGCTTCGATACTCTGTTGGAGAAGCTGATGGTCGATTGGCCTCGCGCTGGGCCAGGTCTGGCGCGGCCTCCTCCTGTTGATCTCCTGGTGGTTGGCATTGTGTGAATCGTCGCAAGTACGTGGGCTGGCAGGGGTCTAAATGGGTGGGTGTGAGAACGTCAAGTTTGAGTGACCGATTTACGGAAAATCGAGGTATTGATAACGTCAATCTGATGAATCTGAAATATCACTGATCGAAGGGCAATGCTTCAGATAATGTCACCAATGGGTGTTGTCGCAATGTCATCTGTGAACCAGCGCTGGGATGTAATGAATGACGAAAGAGGTAGGAAGGTGGCAGGGGCTTTAATTTGGCGGGGCAACGCGAGGTAGGAGCCAAACCACGTGATTCACTGTGCCTAATGAGCGGTACACGCCATTACTGACACTGTCCTCATCATCGTCGTGATTGTTCGTTGTTCATTTCGACATGTCTCTATCGTCTGTCTTCGGATATGCCACAGGAAGTTTCATATTCCAGGGTTCTTTGGATGCACGCCGACTCTTCCTTGACTTTTTGGTTCCCCTACTCCTTTATGCACCAGTAGCTTCCCTATAGAATGAAATGCTCCTGTTGGCGCCCGCCGTACAGAAAGACTCGTTCTTTCCAGTCTTCGGGAGCCACTTGACAGCCCACAAAGCCTTGTCTGTCTCGCTATGCGTCGCGACACAGGCGCTACGCTCCACTGACCAGACCTTGACCTTTCCGTCCATCGCTCCGCTAAGCAAGTATTCACCCGTGTCGTTCCAGTCAACAGATGTGATCCATGAGGAGTGGCCAGTCATGTTGCTGACTTGCTCGCCATTCTTGATGTCGTAGAGAGCAATAACGGATGAGTCGCCAGCAGCAGCGAGTCTGGTGTTTCCAGGGGAGAATGAGACAGAGCGGACAGATTTGACCAGGCCTGGGGATATTTCTTTAGCAAACAATCATTACGAGTAAAACGTTCGGTGGGGGTATACCTGGTAGTGAGAACAACAACTTTCCGTTGTCATTGTTGAAGACGTAGACAGCTCCGTTCTGGTGGCCACTGGCAGTGTATCGCCCATCACGGCTCAAGTCGACTGACATACCAAAGCTTCCCTGGCCAGGGCTTCCCGTCTCGTACTCTCTAATCTTGGGCGTGCCCTCTTCTCCAACGTCCCACACATTCACCCGGCCGTCGTAGGTCGTACCCGCCAGGAATTTTCCATCCTCGCTAAGCGCAATGGCCCATACCTCGCCGGCCTTGGCCGCCTTGTTCGTGATCTCTGAGTGGAGCTTCCACTCGCTCGTGTCCTTGTTGATGGCCCAGATCTTCACCTCGCCGGCGAAGCCTGCACTCGCGGCGACCAGACCATTGCGGGAGGTGCAGATGTGGTGGCAGCCCAGCTTGTGTGCACCGCTGATGGATTGCGTGATGGGGATCGTGGGGTCGGCTGTGTCGTGGATGTGGAGGGTTGATGAGCCGCTTGCAGATAAGACGGCCCTTGAGGTAGTGGCCAAACTGAAGATATCGGTTATGTGGGCTAACGTTGCTGCATGTTAGCAAGATGAAGCTCTAGAGACGATGATTCGGAGGTTCTCAAGCTCTAGCTGATAGGTAGCTCACCATTATCCACAGTGTGTGTGGTCAAATATTGTTTCGACTGGTAGGATTAGCTTCCTTTTCGTACACGAACAGACAATTGAGGTCGTACCATGATTACCAGCCCATGCGAAGCTCGTACCGCTGTAGTTGATGCGCGGTTGTGAGTAGGAAGGTAATGGACGCGATGTGGTCGGGAAGGTGGGGGCTGACATCACACATTTGCGAGAAAAGACCCCTGCAAAGAGCAGCTGGGGCACTGCAGGAGGGGCAATGGAGGGGCACCAACAAGTACCCTTGCTCAGTTTACCTCAGCGCCCCGACTTTATTCAACCTCATTCTTTTTTCATCTTCTAAACATGTATCTCGGGGAACACTTATGAAGAGTAGTTTCCTTCCATTTGATTCTATGATGACAGTACTACTCGCAGAGAGATCAACTTGCCTTCAAGAAACAATGCTGCCCGCTTACATGGCTCCTGTTTCCACCTCAGCCTTCGATGGCCTTTTGTACAAGTCAAAACGCCCTTGAATTCTTTGTACAAATCACAAGGGTTTCTAGCAGTCGCTTCTCAAAGCTACAATTTCCAGCTCTCAAACTTACCGGGTTACTCCATGAGCTCAACTCACCTCGTCGAAGAAATCGCTTCCTGCTCACGGAAGAACTCAACCATTGTAACGTTCTGACAGTAAAGAGCCAACTCATACGGCGTCAAGCCACCGATGTAGGGCTCGCCAGACTCCTTCGCTCCGCCCAAGGTCGTTCTGGCCCGCAAGTCAGCCCCTGCTTTGATCAGCTCCTTTGCAGTAGGTATCATGGCCAGGTCCTGCTTCTGCTGAGACAGTCGTCGAGGGTCCTCCGGATCAGGATGCCATCTCCGCGCGTAGCACGCCATGTGGAGAGGCGTCCATCCCCGAGGGCCGAGGGCATTGGCGTCTGCGCCTTTCTTGAGAAGGAGCTCGACGGTCACGCTCGCTCGTACGCCCCATCTACATACGACATGCAGCGGCGTGATCCCGTTGGCGTCTGTGGTGTTTGGGTCGGCGCCGTGAGAGAGCAACCACTTGATTGCTTGATGTCGCCGGGTGACGTCGCCATACGCCGCCGCGAGCAAGGGTGTGCCGAAGTTGTACGTCTCTGACCTTTGCAGTATGGGGAAGTTGCTTCCAAAAGTGCTTTCTACGCGTCCATAGTTCATCATGTCTATTGGGGTTCCGGTCTTCTCAAAGGCGTAGTTGACTGATGCGCCGGCCTCGACGGCCGCTTCCAACGCAAGGAGGTTGCCGTTGAAGCTGGCCCATCGAAGAGCATACCAGTCATCCTCTTGTCCACTTCGCTGGTAAAGCACACACCTCAACGTTTGATACAGTGACCTACATGTGATGGCCAAATTTTTGAGGTCGGTAATGCCTTCAAGAACGTTCGATGGCGTTGGCTTATTGGGGTCTTCGTAAAAATAATCATCCACTATCTTCAGGTCATCGGAGTCGGAGTCGGCCTCGGCTTCGAGAGCACCGTGAAGTCTTAGATGTTTTGCTGGCTTTGGCTTCGGTCGTGGGCCAATGGCTTTCACGATCTGCAGGACAAGCTCCGTTGGGATAGGAATGCCTGCCAGACCGGTGGTCTTGGAGTCGTCTCGAGGCGGCTGAGGTGATATCATTTCGGCAACTTGATTCAGTCCCAAAGTCGTACTTATTAGGTGTCTTTGCCGTTCTATCCACGTCTATGCGACCTCTGTTGGTTGCATCAGATAGGCGTGTTTGTGTCTACTTGCAAGTTGTGGTTGACTTTAGAAGAGTCAGTCCTTGTATTATGTAGTTTGGTATTCCGATGCACATACAGTTCGCACTCTTGTCTGCAGATTGACTTCTCAAAACATATCTATGACCATATCTTTGCTCGCCGTAGTTGATCATGATTTATCAGAGTGCACGGCTTCATTGTCGCTTTGCTTTGGTTCTTATTGTTCCAAATACCACGTGTTATTCACACAGAACAATGGAGGACTTGCCCCAGTGCATAAAACTGGGACTCCATCTTTGTCTAAGGTTACAACCCCTACTTCCGTTGAACATGTCTTTGTTGATCCTATTAGCCAACCAGTACCCGATGGTTGGTTCTTGGAGCTGGGTTGTTAAGGAGGGGAGGCTAGAAAGAAAAAGAGGCCTGGCGGCAAGACTAAAGTCAATACATCAGAGTCGTGGCGGAACAGATGTAAAAGTTCGCTTAGGAAGTAATCCTCTGTAGGCGCCAAACTTTGGGAGATCAAGTAGCATCATCAAATGAGTGCAGCAGACAATGGAACTCAGCATAACCTGTGTCTATCACCGAGGTTGATGTCGATGGCCCCATCTCAGCGGGCCCGGCCATCGAAACCGCGTGGATCCAGTTTTTCCGTGTTGTAACCGAGTTCTGCTTTTGGTATTCAAAAGCCGTGCCCGCTCGAGACATTCTTCTACATCGACCTTGGTCTACAGACGAGATGTACGTTCATAGGGATGTTGTTTTGCCAATATTTTCCACAATTGTCGGAGTTCCGACTGTTTGTACCCGAGTCCATCATGAGATATCGATCAAGTGATGTTTGCCGTGTACCTAGTGATAGGCTCCTTCAAACGCCTGCTTTTTGCCCACGTTCCCGGCGGCATGTAGATAAACCTGAGCTTGCCACATTGAAATTCATTGTAAAGGTGCGCTGATGAACACATTCGCAACCTCCAGACGAAGTTCGAGGACCTTTATTCGCCACTTGATGATCAGCCTACAATTTCAAGCCACTCGGGGCGGATGTAGAGGCGAGCCTTGCTTCAAAGCTTCAGCGGCATTTCACTCTATTTCATGACCAGTAAAAACCGGTCTGATGACAGCTGGGCACGTCGGAAGAAGGTGATGGATTGTCCCAAACGCCAAAGTATGCTAACCAATTGTACACTTGAATATACACGTCTCGAAATGTTACACAGCCATTGGGCGATTTAAACGAACTTTCCTGAGGGGTTCTCCTCTTTCCACATATCCTTGATCTCTGCACAATGGTTGTTAGTTTGACGTGTACGAAGAACGGTTCTTGCAAGGGAGACGTACTGCTCAGGCAGTGTGGGCATACCACGTGCTGCCTCTTGATCTGGCCGCAGCCTGGGCACTTGCACAGAGACTTGACATCCTGCAACGCCTTGCCTGCCATCTGCCTGTGTCTCTTCTTCGAGTGAGAGGTCTTCTTCTTGGGTACCGCTCGCAGGATGGACTCCCAGATGCCGCCGAGCCAGGCGGGGATGTTGAGGTTGAAAGCCGGGAGCGCGAAGGAGAGCGCCGGGAGGAACGAGTTGGTGACTTGGCGTGTGTAGAGGGAGAGGATTCTTGGTGACTGAGCGAAGGCTGGCGCGGAGATGCGGGGGAAGAGGGAGGTCATGCGCAAAGGCTGCGCGCCCATGGCGATGGCTGCCATTTTTTGGGATGGTGATCGATCGTTTCGAGCTCTAATGGAGGGGTTGTTGGGAAGTCAGGGACTGCCAAAAGTAGAACCGGGGTTCTTTGTAGACGACGATATTGATTCGGGCCGAGATTTGTTTTGCTGCCGGGTATCGAGGGTTCGTGGCTGCGTAGATGTTCTGTCGTGAAAATGTGTATCCACGTTGAAGCTGCTGCTACACCACTGTCGTGCACATCGCGAGGCTCAAGCTTGTTCCATTCCAAGCCGGAAAAAAAAAAACGGCTTGCGACCGGGGAGCTGTCAATTGAGATCTGCCAGCCAATCACAGCTTTGAAGGTGCACAGACCGCCATCAGCCAATCAAGGTGATGGAGACCCCTTTTCCCCTTTCCCTCCCACACCCCCTGCACCTACCTCCCTGCAGGGAAATTATTTGTTTGCTGGAGTGGAAGGAGCAACCTATTAGCTGCAGCCAACGGCGACAGCCAGTGCCTGGCAGACAGGACACGGGGGGCACTGGGGGGGTGGACGGGGACGGGTAGCAAGCAAGTGCCAGCGAGAGAGGAAATTACCCTTGGTTGGGCCAAATCATTTGGTTGACTTGCCCACCTGGGCTCATTCTCATTCACCGGCTTCTGTCCTTCAGAAACATCCGCCAACCTCGTGATCCTCTTTTTCCTCTCTCCCTGCCCATCGCCTTCTCCAGCTCCGTCTCTCCTCCCCCTTGACGAGGCCGCAATTCGAGTTCGAGTACTAGATACCCTTCTTGGAACACAGAAACGTATCTCAACTTCACTCCTTAAAAGCACACACTCACGCGCACCGTTCACTCTCGCTCCCTTGCGGAAAAGCTATCACAATGGCGCAGCCTCAAACCATCTTCCCCCAGACCCATGTCGGTTTCGACAGCATCACGTCCCAGATTGAGAAGAAGCTCCTGAAGAGAGGCTTCCAGTTCAACGTCATCTGTGTCGGTAAGTTATTCCCCGCAACCCCAGATCACAATCACTGGCCTAGCAAGCTGGATTGTCCCCCTATGTCGCGTCGGCAATCGACTAATTGCATCTCGTGTTTCCATGATATAGGCCAGACTGGTCTGGGCAAGTCCACCCTGATCAACACCATCTTCGCCTCCCACCTCATCGACTCCAAGGGTCGTTTGATGCCCGATGAGCCCGTCCGCTCTACCACCGAGATCCAGGCCGTCTCCCACATGATCGAGGAGAATGGCGTCCGTCTGCGCCTCAACATCGTCGACACCCCCGGATACGGCGACCTGGTCAACAACGACCGCTGCTGGGATCCCATCGTCAAGTACATCAAGGACCAACACTCCGCTTACTTGCGAAAGGAGCTCACCGCTCAGCGAGAGCGTTACATCCAAGACACCCGCATCCACGCCTGCCTCTTCTTCATTCAACCCTCGGGCCACTCCCTGAAGCCCATCGACATTGTCGTCCTGAAGAAGCTGTCCGATGTCGTCAACGTCGTCCCCGTTATTGCCAAGTCCGACACCCTGACTCTTGAGGAGCGCCAGGAGTTCAAGGAGCGTATCAAGGAGGAGTTCGCTTTCCACAACCTCAAGATGTACCCGTACGACAACGACGAGTTTGACGACGAGGAGCGCAGCTTGAACACCCAGATCAAGGTCAGTCATGCCATTTGGCTCGCGCACATTCCAATTGCTAATAGACCCCACAGGATCTCGTTCCCTTCGCCGTCGTCGGCTCCGAAAAGTCCATCATTGTCAACGGCAAGCAGGTTCGCGGTCGCCAGAACCGGTGGGGTGTCATCAACGTTGAGGACGAGAACCACTGCGAATTCGTCTACCTGAGAAACTTCCTTCTCCGCACCCATCTCCAGGATCTCATCGAGACCACCTCGCAGATTCACTACGAGACTTTCCGTGCCAAGCAATTGCTTGCGCTCAAGGAGAGCAGCGCGCACGGTGGAGGTAGCAGACCCATCAGCCCTGCTGCTGACCGTGAGCTCAGCCGAAACTCTCAACGAATGACCTTGAACGGATACTAGTTTACGGATATCCCACCCCCACCTACTCGAGGCGCCTGACGGCCATGATATTCTTGGGCAGCTGGGCTTCTGACGACTTTCAATCTCATGGTGTTATGCGCAGACCAACAAAAGAACAGGCACGGTACCGCCTCGACAGCATGCGGATGCTGCATCGACCAGTAATGCTGAGGGGAGGTAGCAACCGCTACGTCCATGGTAAAACTTGGCGGAAGTGATTCCGCATGGGAGGCTCGAATATGCTTGCGTGGCGCACGGATATAGGCCCATACCCCCTTCTCTAGGCTTCATGGTCGTTGTTTAAGTACTCGTGCTGGCGAAAATAGTCCAATATTCCCCCTTTCCGCCTCATCAGCTGGACGCACTTCTACTGTTTTCTTATTTCGGCTTTTTTAAAGCAGCATTTCAAGCTCGGCTTCACTTGTACCCCCATTTTCTTCTTACACTTTAATCCATTCGTACTCTGATAGAGAGTTCGTTTCGATACCTCGTGGAATACAACCGACATGGCTTATGACTTGCGGGCTTGGATGTTTCTTGTGATGTGTATTCCTCTGTCCCGAGTACGGCAATAAATAGCCAGAGGTTTCTGCCACGTGTAGATGTGGCTCTATGGATTGCTTTTATACGCTCTCATGTGTGTATATATGCTCACAATGACCGCCCGTGCTATGAAGAAAATCCACAGACCATTTGTGAACTCTTAAAGGATATTCAGTTTCCAACGCCCCGTCACCATGCCATCCGATCCGAACCTCCCTCTCGCTCTCTATCTCTCTTATCCGCCCTCGTTGTCATGGTCTCTCTACTGAGAAGGGTTGTAGACAAAGTCCTCGAGAGTCTTGTAGGCCTTCTCGAGGTCGTCGTTGACAATAACCAGATCGTGAACGCCGGGTGTTTTGGAGTAGGCCAGCTCGAGCTTGGCTTGCGCGAGACGCTTCTGGATGTTTTCTTCCTTCTCGGTGCCGCGGCCGCGGAGGCGCTTCTCGAGCACTTCTTCTGAGGGGGGCGCGATGAAGACGTAGCGGGCGGGGAAGTTTGACGTCTTGATTTGCTTGACTCCCTAGATGTTTGAACCCCACGGTCAGTATTGGAAATTCCTGGTTGGAGGGGAAAGAGGTGTGTATAAAGCAAAAACGTACCTCCATCTCGATGTCGAGAACGACGAGCTTGCCCTTGGCGGACTGCTCCTCAATGGTG